GTCTTTTTTGAGACAGGGTCTCCCTGTAGCCCCAGCTGTCCTAGAACTTACTATGTAAGTTACTATGTAGATTAGGCTGGCCTCAAATTCACAAAGATCCACCTGCCTCTGCCTCCCAAGTGCTGTGATTAAAGAAAGGCATGTACCACTATGCCTGGCCTGAGATTTAGTTTTTTTTATATGTATACGTGAGTGCCTGAATATATGTATGTGTACCGTATGTGTGTCTGGCACCTGTGGAGGCCAGAAAGTGTCAGATTCCTTCAAACTGGAGCTACAGGTGATTGTGTACTCCATTTGGGTGGTGGGACGAGCAGCTGCTCTTAACTGTGAAGCCATCTCTCCAGACCCTGCATTTCTTTTTTAAAATTACTGTTAAGAGTATCAATAAGCCCCATAAGTTTAACTGGTCGACTATTAAAAAAAAGTTTATCTGTGGGAGGACCCACTTTTCCAGTCTCACTGGTCAATCACCTGGTGGTAGAACCACTCCTAGGAAGGCAGGTTCACCTTAAATTAAGCTAAATAGATGGGTGGAATACCTGGCACATTAATGAGGTAGTGAATTTTTCCTGCCTGGAACTAGCTCAGACCTCTGCAGAACTTCCAGACCAGCCAGTCATGTAGGTCTCTTTAAATCTGTCCACTTTCCTGAACTCTTCAGGAAAGCGTGATTTCTCCTTTTCTTCTTCATGCCTTTCTTACTAAACAGGCTTTGGGCCGCCCCTAGCCACCTTGTATTTCTTCACTTTTTCTCTAAAGCTTCCTTCTCCCAGCCATGTGGCTGCAAGTCAGCCACGTGTCTGACCCCCATGCAGGCTGTAAACCTGAACTCCTTCATGATTTTCTTTACTTCTTCCCACCATTCACCTCCTCAAGGCAGCTGAGCAGCTTGCCTGCCCTGAGGATTTTAAGATTCTGATAAAATTGTAAAAGCTTCTGTTTGGGTCCATTCTTAAATTATTTTATGAATGAGACTAAGAACCCTCTAGGGGACCCTTTTTCTCCCCATTTCATTACTAGTGAAATCTTAATCTGTGTGGTTCCAGGCATGTCTAGCCTTTGAGCTGGTGCCATTTCAGGCCCTTCATGCACTGACACTTTTTCTTTTACAGTATTTTGCTTTTATTGACTTTATTATCTTTTTTATCCCCCCTCTTTTTGAGACAGAGTATCCCTGTAGACCAGGCTGGCCTTGAACTCATAGAGATCCACCTGCCTTTGCCTCCCAAGTGCTGGGATTAAAGGTGTGCACCACCACACCCAGCTTATTTTATGTGTATGAGTGTATTGCCTTGCATGTATGGAAGTGCACCCATGTCATGCAGTGCCTGCAGACGACAGAAGAAGGCATCAGATCTTTTAGAATTGGAATTACAGACAGCTGTTAGCTGCCATGTGGGTGCTGGGAACTGAACCTGGGTCCACTGCAAGAGCAGCCAGTGCTCTGAACTGCTGAGCCATCTCTCCAGGTTTTACTGATTTTCTTAGAGTGTAATTTTTCCTTCAGCTTGCGTACCTTTCTGTTTGTTATTTTTTCATATCCATGAATGTAGTCATATCTGTATTACCTAATTCTTGATAGTCCAACATCTCTATTGGATGGAGGGATGTTCCCACTCCTGCAGAGGCTTTTACAAGAGATGGTTGGCAAACCTGACTAGTTCTTAAGACACAAGAACAAAACTGACCCCCACCAACCCTCTTCAGACACCACTGTCTCCACCTCCTACTGCACACCCGTTCCAGTAAGACAGTGGAGGAGGAAACGCACTGGGCTTCAGAAACCATAAGACTCAAAAGGCAGCAGCAAAACAAGGTAAACCTCCTACTTTCTCTCAGGGGGAGAAAGTAAAGATGCTTGCCAATCCACAATATGCACAGATGAACGGCTAGTGGGAATGTGAACAAACAGTAGGCACACTGTCCTCATCCAAGATTTATTCAATCAGGCTTACTTAACCCTTATTTCAAAAAAAAAAAACAAAAAACAAAAAACGGTGTGAGCGTGTACTGTGTATTTGTTATGCTGGACACAAAGGTTACAAAGTCACCCTCTCTTCATGAAAACATTTAGAAGCAGCTACTTGAGCCAAGTATGGTGGTACACACCTGTAATCCCTGCTCTTAGGTGGTGGTGGCAGGACCAGGAGTTTAAAGACAACTTGGGCTATATAAGACCTTGTCTCAAAAACCAAAAAACCAGAGTCAGGTGTGGTAGTGCACACAGGCAGGCAAATCTCTGAGTTCCAGGCCAGCTGGGGCTACGTAGTGCTAGTAACCACAGCACCTTGTGTAACATTCACCCCACTTTCTTGTTTTTGATTTTGTTGACTTTGCCTCTCCCAAACTAGATGCTTCTTGAAGGCAGACACTGCTGAATCCTGTCAATTCCATATAACAGTTCCCATGGTGGGGCAGAAGACAGCTGAGCAGAATGTTTATAAGCAGCAAACAAGTAAGGACATGAAGAATCTCCAGTGAAGAGAAAAAGAATGGAATTTATAGTTACTATTCTCCTTTTTGTATTTGTAAGGTTAGAATTTTTTTTTTTTTTTTTTTTTTTTTTTTTTTTTTTTAAAAAGGGTTTCCCTGTAGCATTCAGCCACCCTGGAACTCACTATGTAGACCAGGCTGGCCTTGAACTCACAGAGATCTGCCTGCTTCTGCTGGGATTAAAGGTGTGTGCCACCACACCTGCCAAGGTTAGATTTTCTAAAATTTCTAAATCTCCATAGCAAATACTATCAAGAATCAGTAGTACAAACTTTTACAAGAAGTAATAGACAGTGCTGTGGATATTGATATAGCTCAGAGGTAGAACAGTTCCCTATCATGTATGAGGTCCTCTGTTCAATCCCCACCACCACATATACACACACACACCAAAGTTCACTATAAACTTTAATCTGATATAAAGTGTTACTTACAGACATAATCAAACATTAGGAAATACAATGTAATGACAATTCAATTTTAAAAATATTTCCATGGACCAAAGGATCTCCCTCTGACCTGATTTGCAGCTTGTCACAAATGCTCTATTTGCTAACGCAAAGAGCACAGCCCTCACTCACCCATGAAGCCCATCTTACTCATCAGCATGTTCCTTCAGGTAGAATTTTTAAGATGTGATGCGCTGCTTCTCATGAAGTGGTTTCTTCCAGTATGACCAGAGATGAATGGACATGGGTGGGTGTGGGGAACATCCCTCTTAATAATCAGAGTAGCTACACATTGGGTGCTGCATCGCCAGTGTAAAAAAAAAAGCACTTTTTCTGAGGCAACATCAAATTAACAACACTGACAAAAAAGGCAAATTCAGTGGTTGCTGGCATTGCTTTAAGAACTGCGAGGCATGCAGTGACTAAAACTATCACCGAAAACAGAAGGGAAAGGGCTACTGAGCTCCTGTTACAGAAACCTGCCACACTCTTAAGACTCTTGTAGTCCATGATCTAGGAAGGACTTCTGTTGTTGGTTTTTTGTTTTTTTTTTTCGGTCTTTCTGAGACAGGGCCTCCCTGTTGCCCCAGCTGGCTTGGAACTCACTATGTAGACCAGGCTGGCCTTGAACTCAGAGATCCGCCTGCCTCTGCCTCCCAAGTGCTGGGACTAACTGCGTGTGCCACCATGACTGGCTAGGAAGGACTTCTGAACTTTGCTTGAGACAAGGTCTCATTCCATGGCCTCACTCACTATGTAGTCCAAGACTCAGCCTCCCAAGTGCTGGAATTACAAGTGTGCACCACCACACTCATCTTAAGGCTGAAGAGTAGTCATATTATTCAGATTCAGCCTTATTCAGTAAATGTTAAAAATATAAAAACAATTTATCTCAGAATTATATTTTTTAACAGGTAATTTTCCAAAATACATGCTTCAGATAAATGTAAAATTCATCTTCATTTGCCTTTGTTAAAACCTGGCCATTTGTACCTTGCTTATTGCTTGCTTCCCAGAAGGAATCACAGAAACAAACAAAAGAATTTTAAAAAGGCAGCTTTCCTGTTCAACAGCTGGGACGAGCTCCTTTGGGAAAATTCATCCAGCCCTCAGAGAGTATTCCATATGTATATTCTGGCAGTTGTCGCCAGTAGGACATGTGTTCCTAAACTTGACACCTGAAGACATGGAGACCAATAGGGCAAACGTTCCCTTTGACACTTGCCCTCAGTGGTCTCCTGTTTGGCAGGTGTGTTTAGGAGCGTGTCAGGGTGTGTCAGCATTTCTCTAAGTTTTCCCTAGTAAACTGAGAGCTCAGGTGGGTGCCCCAGTGATTGGCAAACTGGCCTAAAGTAATTAGGGCTTTAATTGATGACTCCCCCACCCCCCCCCCCCCCTTTTTTTTTTGTCTTTTTGAGACAGGGTATCCCTGTAGCCCCAGCTGTCCTGGAACTCACTATGTAGACCAGGCTGGCCTTGAACTCACAGAGATCCACCTGCCTCTGCCTCCCAAGTGCTAGGATTAAAGGTGTGCGCTACCATGCCCAGCTGATAACTCCCTTTTTTAAAGTTGTCATCTGACAACAACTTGAATCAAGAGCAGCAGGCAAATGAGCTGAGGTGGTATGCTGAGCTAACAAACATCCCAAAACCTGGAGTAACTTTAGTACTGCAGACAATTAGAGAATCATGATGATAAAACTTAGTAAAAAGGTCTTAAGGACAGGTATATCTTGAAACAATGTTTTACATCCTTTGGGAAAAAAATAGGCATATTTCAAATAATTGAATGATTCACAGATTTTACACAGTCTCTAAGATCTGTTTTCTGCCACATTGTTTTTAAGAGTCTTTTAGTCAACCTAGAGTAACTGCTGCAGCTGCTCTCTTTCTTTCTAGACACAGTCTTGCTATGTATGTACACCAGGCTGTCCAGGCAATCCTGCCTTAGTCTCCAGGGCTGGGGTTATAAGCTGGCTCCAGGAGCTACTTCTTTATACTGACAGAAAGCTCTGCTTGTTCATTAGCTTTCTATAAATGCCATTGGGCTTGCAAAGCAGCTCTTCATGTTTCCCATGTTCACTAACTCTTCCTTGGTCAAGGACAGCAACCAGGTTGGCATTCTTAATGGTGGACAGGCGGTGGGCTATTATCAACACTGTTCTTCCCTCCATCAACCGGTCCAAAGCTTCCTGTACCAGGTGCTCATTTTCAGCATCCAGTGCACTGTTGCAGACAAGGTCACATGCAAGCAGCAGAGTTCAGTGCCATACAAGGTTACTCAGACACTCTCCATCACAGACACACAGGTCACTCAGACACCCTCCAACATGGACACTCTCTAATATGATTATACATGTCACAGAGACACCCTCACCTGGTTGCTTCATCCAGGAGAAGAATTCTGGGGTTCTAAAGAAGGGAAAAAATAGAAAAAAAATCAATTAGAGAACACAGCTCTGGGTAGTAAAAAGGAACGACATGGGCTGGTAAGATGGCTCAGCAGGTAAAGGCACTTGCCCCCAAGCCTGATGATCTGAGTTTGATTTCTAGGATGCATCCTAAAAGGAGAGAACTGACTCCAAGTTGTTCTCTGACTTCTATGCCCATAACCTCCTGCTAGGGACTGGAGAGATGGTTCAGCAGTTAAAAGCACTGGCTGTTTTTGCAGAGGACCCAGGTTCAGTTCTTAGCACCCACATGGTGGCTAACAATCATATGTAACTCCAGTTCCGGGGGATCTAGTGCCCTTTTCTGGCCCCCAGGTGCACCAGGCATGCATGTGATGGACTTGAACACATACCTTCAGGCAAAACACTTATAAAAATATATATTTTTTAAAAATATAGCAAACTAACACATAAGGCAGAAAAACAGTAAGCCAATATATACATTACATTCTAGTTTTTCCTAAGACTCTCTCTGCAATAAATGAAAATATGCTGGGCATAATGATGCACACTTTTAATCCCAGCACTTGGGACACAGAGGCAGGAGGATTTCTATGAGCTTGAGGTCAGCCTCATCTACATAGCAAATTTCAGGTGAGCCAAGGCTATAGTGAAACCCTATCTTTAGCCACTACCTTCAAAGATTACAACAGCCTCCAAATCAACTCAAGCACAGATGAACAAACAGCCCATTGACTGAACAAGAGAATGAAGTTCTTAACACACAGCAAACTCTGGTATCACACTGAGTGTAAGGAGCAGATGAAGAGACAATGTGCTGTCTGGTTCCATAATCTGTCCAGAAAGGTAAATCTAGACAAAGTGTTTTGTTGCATTGGAAAGAGCCTGCAGACAGGAATGTTCTAGAGTCAGACTGCATGGACAACTGTGAACTTACTAAAAGTCACTGAAAATTACATTTAACCCAGCATAGTATGGAAGCAGGTGTCCATAAAGCTATTAGAAACTACCTATAAGCTGAGGAGACTAACAAGGGAAGGTGTCATTTCCTTAAAAGCAGAATGCCTGGCTCTCCTCCAAGAGATTCTTCCCACTCCTGGCGGGAGTCTGTCTGCCTGAGGCTTCTAACCAGCTCCTCAGCAGAGCAGCTGGGTAAAGGTTAGATAAATATACATCAGCACTGTTCTGACATTTTGTTAATAAGCATGGTCACCAGTCAACTGATTCTTCTAGGCTAAAGGTCTACATGTTCAGCTGGTCCCTCCTCTGACACCCCTTCAACACCAAACTCCGGACACATGAGATATATTTGTTATATTTGGACAAAAGGTCCTCAGTGGAACTCCCTGCTTACTTTTTACCCTCCCTATAAAAGAAAAAAAAAAAACAAACAAAAAAAACAAGCAAACAACAAACAAACCAAAACAGGAGGAGGAGGAGGAGGAGGAAGAGGAAAGTATAAAGTGGAAAGTGCAAATGGGAAATCACAGTCAGCTGGCTTACCTTCAGCAAAGCACGAGCAATTGCGATCCGCTGTTTCTGCCCACCTGACAGAAAGGACAGTTAAAAAAGGAGAGCTTAACAAAAATTCTTAGGAACAGGCTTTTCTGATGAGACAAGTGACAATCTAAAGGTAGCTTCTTCCATTCAACCACAACCAATAGGCAGTATAACAGAAACTTGTTTCTTAATTATACTGTCTTATCAAATCGTAAAACTATCAATTATTACCACAGCTAACTAAGGATTTCCTAAATGCATCTGGCATGTTAATCTTTAACAAGCATCCTCAGAGGAGACCCTGTAATTATTTCCACTTTACAGATAAAACTGAGGCACAGGGTAACATGTCCCAGGTCTTACAGCTGGCCAGGGGCAGGGCCAACACCTACACTGATAGGAGGGACTATGTTTCCAGCCACCACTCACTCCTCCTCCTGACAGGATGTTCACACACTGAGGGAACTTGGAATGTCTAGGAGCAAAGGCCAACAGCAACGCTGGGATGTATTCCCACTGCTCCATAAAGCCATACAGCCTTCAGTCCTTTCCCTCTCATTTGTCCTGCCTCCCTGCCCCACAGCATGCTGCTGTGTGTGCATATGAAGCTGCAGGTTACAAACCGAAGAAGCCACTCTAATCCCCTCCTTTTCTAAGCACAAATTCCACTCAAAGCCTTAGAACAGGTGGAGTGGGGAGACACAGGCCTGCAGCCAGCAGTCTGGCAATGGCAATTCTGTCTGCCTCCTACCCAGCTCCTTCCCCGAGGATTCCATCCTTCAGCAGTCAGAAGAACTCCCATAGGCTCATACCTCCCTATGTGAGTTGTCTCATGATATACAACTCCAATTCTGGTGCTAAGAGCATTCCTTAGGGATTGACTGTTGGTGGGAAATTTTTGTTCATGGTGACACTGGGTGGCACATCACTTTATCAAAGTGTTCATCATGTTCAGCAGATGCCGAGGGGCTGCCCTCACCTGGAGGCAGTATTTAAGGGATGCAAGAACACCTTCTACCCTCCGCCACCCTCTAAGTAGCCCAGTACCCCAAGAGTAGTCCCTTGGAGCACCCTTGGGTAGGGTCCTAGAGTAGTGGCTGATGGCCTCCTGGACTATGCTCAGTGCCAGCTAGCATGCTGAGAACCTATAGGCAAGTGTTTTTCTTCCTCTAAATTCAAGGGCAGTTGCGTGTAGTGGTGCACACTTATAATTCTACACTTTGGAGGTTGAGGCAGGAGGATTTAGAGTTCCAGGCCAACCTGGGCAACATAGTGAGACAGTGCCTCAAAAAATAAATAAAAAACCTGTGGGCTGGAGAGATGGCTCAGTGGTTAAGAGCACTGGCTGCTCTTGCAGAAGACCCAGGTTTGAATCCTAGTACCCATATGGTATGGCTAACAACCATCTGTAACTCCAATTCCAGGGGACCTGATGCCTCCTTCTGACCTTTCTTCTGACTGACACAGGCATTGCATGACATGGCACTGCACAACATGGGTGCACTTACACACACGCAGGTGAAACACTCATACACATAAAATAAAAATAAATAATCCCAGTCACACTTTAAAAAAAGATGAACCCCACACTCAGTGACCACAAGCAGCTTAACAGGCATCTATGTGAGGACCCAATTCAGAGATGTGGCAGCTGGTTGCGTTCACACAGAAAGACATAACTCCTGGGATGTCGAAAACATACCATAAACATCTCCCTGACTATCTTTTGGGGAAAAAAAAAAAAACTCTCACGAAACAGTACAACCTTTTCATTTCATATCCTCTGTGATGCAACCTCTTAGCTGGAAAGGACCACTGCCTGATCTAGCCCTCCAGAAGCACTTTGATGGAGGCACCTCTGAGGATGAGAGCTCAGCACCTCCTGAAAAAACAAGTTTCAGTATTTGCAACAAGAAAAAGGCCTATGTCTAACCAAAAATGTATTTCCCCTTAGCTCTATTACTGGTCCTACTTCTGCATCCTACAGCAAGTCAAAACAAGCTGTCCTTTTCCCAAAACATGTGGCATCCAGTCTTCTGGACTCAGCCTAAAATGTCAGGAATTGCCAACTCCGCCTCCAAGACTTAAGGCTGTTCAACAGGCTCAGGCCCAAAGGCCAGATGAAGAGAAGAATGCTCTTTACTTTTTTTTTTGGTTTTTTGAAACGTCTCCCTATGTAGCCCTGGCTAGCCTTGAACTCACAGAGATCTGCCTGCTTCTGCTTCCTGAGTGCTGGGAGTAAAGGCATATACCACCATGTCCAGCCTTTTATTTTTAAAGGGTTCTTTAAGAAAGCTCAGGCTAGGAGTGCAGCTCTAGGGTATAATACCTACCATGCCCAAGTCCCAGGGTTCCATCCCTATCATTACATTAAAAATTAAAGACTACAAGAATATATAACAGCAATGTTATGTGGCCATCGCACTTAAAATGCTCTCTTTCTTGCCCTTTCCAGAAAATATAATTAGTCCCTGGTTCACATGAACGCTTTCCACATCAGTTTGAGATGTGGTCACTGCTTCCTTGAGCAGATCACCTGCCACCTTGTCATAACTGTCTTATTTTCTATAATTCCCTATGGTCTCACGTTGCAAAACAATCTTTTCTCAGATAAGGAAAAAGCTTGCTGTGGCTGGGTACTATTCATCCACAGTTCTAGGACGAGTTTGTAGAAAGTGAAAGAAATGGGGATATTGTCCCCCATTAAATAAAATGAAGCTATTTTTTAAAAGCCCCAAGGATGAAAACCTCATCTATAAGTGACAGTGCACCAGAAAATGTGGGAGTTTCCTGCAGCAAGTGCTTCTACTACACAGCAGGACAGGCAGAAATAAGCCAATACATAAAATATAAGCAGCACACACCAGACAGGAGGACGCCCTTCTCCCCGACCACTGTGTCGAAGCCCTGGGGGAAGCTCCGAATGAACTCGGTGGCATTGGCCACTTCTGCAGCCCTCTGCACCTGCTGGGCTGTGACTGATGAGGGGCTGCTGGCACCATAGGCAATGTTCTCCGCGATAGAGCAGGAAAACAGGACTGGCTCCTGGAAATGAAGTACAGCACATTTGTCAGCCAACTTCAGGCAGGCACCATGGGCACCAAGAATGGGCCTCAGCCAAAAGTGACACACACACACAGAATATGGCCCTACCTGCCTCCACAACCTTGCCCAGTAGACTTTAAAAGTTCTGAGTTTAGGGGCCATCGAGAAATCTCAGCGGGTAAAGGCACTTATTGCCAAGCCTGATGACCTAAGTTCAATCCCCAGAACCGACATGGTGAAAGATGAGAACTGATTCCCCCAAGTTATCCTCTGACCTCCACATGTGCACTGTGACACATGGACACACACACATGTAATTAAATAAAGGTAATTTTTTAAAAGTTCCCAGTTTACTGTAAAGTAAGACAGAATGCATCTGTTGTCTTCACTACCCTGTGGGGAAGAGCACCTCAGGATGGGTGTCCAGAGGTGCCAGTCCCTCCCTTAATGCTCCCAAGGCCTGGAAGACCCAAGTCCAGCTGCCTGCATCTCACTACAGAGTAAGGGTCCATCTCCACCCACTACTTTCTGACACACAACTAGCCAGAGCCAAAGCATCCTGACAGAACCCACAGAGGACTGTGAAGCACGCCAGCCTCTGGTCTTTCCTCCACCCTCATAATGTTGAGATCCAGCAAGCACCCATGGCTGTACCACCCACCCAGTCCAGTGCAGGGGTCCCCCACCAGAGTGTAGAAATGGGGAACCAGAGTGAGTACAAGTATACATTGCAGAAAGAAAACTAGCCATGGTAAAGTTTACCTGTTTCATGCAGTCTTGCACAAACAGCCTCAAGAAAGGAACCATGTTATTAGTGATATTCTTGAAAGCTACAACTTCTTTGAGGGGTTCCAAGGTCATAGCCAGGCTTGGGAATTGGGGAGAACAGAGAAAGCTTCTCTGGATCTCTGAATCCTCTAGATACTCTTGTGTTGCAAAGAAACATGAGTTTCAGCTTTTAGTAAAAAAGCCAGCACTGCAACTAGTACAGTGTTGAGGGTCCTTGAGACATGGCCAGCAGCCTGTGTGTGAAGCAGCCTGTAAATAAAGCTTCCCATTTCTCTCTCTTGAGAAGCATCAGATCAAGAAAAAGCAAAGGAGAAGCAACTTCAAGGAAAGTGATATAAAAGGGAGGCATAGCCAGCAGTGGTGGTGAATGCCTTTAGTCCTAGCACTCAGGAGGCAGAGACAGGCTCTGTGAGATCAAGGCTAGCCAGGGCTACATATCAAGTTCCATGCCATCTGGGGGTATAGGGATACCCCGTCTCAAAAAGACCAAGGAAAAAAGAAAAAAAGAAAGGAGGCCCATCTTACCTGACTGACTGTCCCGATCTTGGATCTCAGCCAGCTGGGGTTTAGCTGGCGGATGTCATGGCCATCAAGACTGACTGTTCCTGTGAGGCAAAGTAGAAATCAGCAGAGGTCATGGGTCAATAACCAATGTAAACGCAGAAGGGGCCCAGTGGAAAAATTCCAGATTTTCACTTTTTTTTTGGAGACAGGATCTCATGTAGCCTAGTCTGGCCTCACACTCACTATGTAGTTAGAAATGATCTTGAACTTCTAATCTTCCTGCCTCCACCTCCCAAGTGCTGAGATTACAGGACTGTGCCACTATGTGCTTCTCCCTCCCCTTTTGAAATGTTGTGCTAGCCATCAAACCCAGGGCTTCATGCATGCTAGGAAAGCACTCTACCAACTGATCCTTATCCCCAACTCACAGTTTTTTAAAGACTAACTATATACCTAGGACTGGGGCTGTGACTCGATGGTAGAGTACTTGCCTACTGTGTATAAGGGCCTGGGTTCTATCCTCATTCCTGAAAAAAAACTTTTCCAGTATTCATATGAAATCTAAAACCAACAAGGTTGGGAGTTACAGACAAGAGGCCCTTCTTCAGGGTCTGAAGCTAGGTCTCCTCCCACTGGTGGCAAACCTGTACAGCCCACATCCTGGGTCTATAGGTTGCAGGGTAGCTCCCTGGACTACCTGACTTTAGGGGTCCCAAGAATCTGATGTCCTGCAGAGAGAGAGAGAGTCTTGATTCCAAAGAGAACTGTGTAGGAAAAGCAAGCATGCAGCACCCATTGGCTAGCAGTTCTGATAGCAGCCCCTGACCATGCCAGCATCAGAAGTGACCATGAAGGCACTCTGGGGACTCTAGACATACTCTGAAAATTTAACCCTGAGTACATGCATGTATGTGTATATGGGTGTCCACATATATAGTACATATATATGTTTTGGGTTTTTTTTTGAGACAGGCTTTCACTATGTATCTCTGGCTGGCCTGGAACTCGCTATTTAGACCAAGTTAGGCTTGAACCCACGGAGATTTGGCTGCCTCTACCTTCCGATTGCAGGGAATAAAGGCCTGGGCCATCAGGTCTGGCCTTCGGGTATATATATTTGAGACCGAGTCTCACACTGTTTCCTCAATCCAAAAATCAAAGCACAGGTATAGATTTTATGTAAAGATGTAAAATAGCATGCTTTTGCTTTGAAAGGTTAGTATAATCCAGTTGGAAATAAAACTCAAACCAAAATGAGAAAAATTCATTAAGAAAATACCTAGGCTAGGGTGATGGGTCAGGAGGTGAAGTGCTTGCTGCATTAAGTGTGAAGACCTGAGCTCAATATAGTACATGAACAACAGATTTTAAAAAGAAAAATCATACTAGAGTTGGTCAGTAATCCCAGCTACTTAGGAGGCTGAGGCAAAGATCACAAGTTTAAAGTCAGCCTGTAAAACTTAGTAAGACCTGTTTCAAAAGAGAAAGTAAAGAGGGTAGGGGACGTAGCTTAGTGGTAGAGTGCCTTCTTGGCATTTGTAAGGCTCTGGATTTCTCCAGCACAGGAAAAAAAATCCCTACCAGTTCAGAACAATTTCAGCAGAGTTACCACAGAAGTAAATCCCTGATCACCAGATTAACTGTTTCTAACACAACTAAGGAAGTAGGAGTGGTGGTGCACACTTGAAAATCTCATGACTCAGGAGGCCAAGGCAGGAAGATTTCTACAAGTATGAGTCTAGCCTCATCTATATAGTGAGTTCCAAGCCAGCCAGGGCTTCGTAAGACCCTGTCTCAAAAAAATCAAAACAAACAAACAAAAAACCCCCAAACTAAACCAAATAAACTAAACCAATTCAAACCAAACTAAAAATCAACCAAGGATTAGTCTGCAGGCAGAAGCATCAGAAGGGTTCCCACCCCTGTGGAGGTTGCCACTCTAACACATGGATGGATAGCAAAGCAGCGTCCCAGCATGTTGTTGGGGGTATAGGGCACTCCGTGGCACAAAGGCACCTCCCCTGGCCACTGGCACCAGCTGGCATTTTCTGGGCATTACTGGACACAGCCTTGTCGACCTCCTCCCAGCAGCAGGAATGTGGGAAGGCACCAAGTGCATGGAGACTGGGGTCTGCACCACAGGTCTTGAAGTATGGTCTCTCCTGGGCTAGGAGTAAGGCTGGGTGACAAGAAGGGACACAGATGGCTCAGGAACACCCCTGCCTACAATACCATGAGTCACCTACCAGAAACAGGATCATACAGTCGCAGTAGGAGTGAGATCACCGTTGATTTTCCAGAACCACTAGGGCCAACCAGTGCAGTGACAGATCCCGATGGGATGGAAAGGCTGAAATCCTGAAATACAGACACCTCTGGGCGAGCAGGGTAGGCAAAGTGTACATTTCTGAACTCCAAGGCTCCCTGGAAGCTTTTCTCATCTAACACAGCCCCTTCTGAAACACAAGAGGGAATACAGATTGCTAAAGCAAAACTTGCTCCCCTGCCTGTCTGATGTGGATGGGGACAGGTATTCCTTCCCCAGTGCAGCTCATCCTGGGTGCTTGAAGGAACAGCTGTGTGTGACACCTGCTACATACAGGGCACTGAGCATACAGTCTTGTGTAACCTGATAAGCCTGAGGTTCTACTTTTCTTAGGTAGAGTTTAGAACCACAGATAAGAACAGCATACCCAAGTTAAGTGGAAGTGAAGATCCAACCTTGGGGAAGTCTAGTTTCAACTAGATGACCTCTCCCAGTGCCACTATACCCCAGGAGCTCCTATGTAGCTTTTATCTACCCCAAATAAACATTTTGAAAGCACAGTGGAGGGTCAGAGGTCCACTCAGTCCCAGTGTGACCTTGGATTAATATAAGAGACACGTCTCACTTTTTGTTATATCCATGCCCTGGTTTTTAATCATACTGGACGGCACCAAACTCCCACTCATTGCCTGGCACCTACCTAGCAGCACACAGGCTTCCTTGAGTGCTAAGCATTGCTACTCATGGCAGCTCCTCTGAGGTCTTCCCCAGGTAGTCTAAACCCACATCTCTAGTGAAGTTGATGACAAGGAAGGAGTGGCCCTTCCCACTCAGTACCAGCATCCCTGCATTACCTCCAAATGCCAAGAAATTTAAAGCCTTTTAGCTGGGGTGTGGTGGTACACACACCTTTAGTCCCAGCATGAGGCAGAGGCAGAGGCAGAGGCAGAGGCAGAGGCAGAGGCAGGTGGATCTCTGTGAGATCAAAGCCCAGCCAGGTCTACATAGTGAGTGACAGGCCTCCTGGGGTTACAGAGAGACCCTGTTTCAAAAAGACACACACACACACACACACACACACACACACACACACACACACACAGAGCCTTTTAGCCTTTTACTCCTATTCCCCTCACAAATGTCCCAATGTCTAAGGAAGATTTTAGAAAGCTGGCTGGATGTTCCTATTCATACCCAAGCCTATTAGCTACTGTCCTTCCCTAAGTGGTAATGACGGGCTGCAGGGACATGAAGAGCATGCTATGTACTCAGTCCCATATTTCAAGAGCATCACCTGCAGTGTATCATCTGTCACATATGAATCCTGATCCTTTCTGCTCTGTCCTGGCAGTGGCCTGTTCTCAGGATGCTAGTCTGATTATCCAAAGCCAGCTTTGTTCAATCTCAGCAAGAACAGTCCTGACTCAGACATACCGTTAAAAGGGAGCTGCGGCTGTCTCTCCAGCAGCTCCCAGAGCCGTCCACCAGCTCCCAGGCCTTTCATCAGCTCTGAGTAGAAGGAACTCAAACCTGAGGAAAAGAAGAGACCCACCATCAGCCTGACAGGAAAGGCCACAGATTCCTGCCCTAATAAGGGTCAGGAAATTTACAAATATGTGGCCAAACTGACCACCAGTGACAACTTGTGACTGCAGGGGGAGTCACCTTCTCAGAGAAGTACTGCAAGTACAGCACAGTCCCAAGTGAACTGAAGTTCCTAGAAAAAAGCCACACCTATGTTAAAGATCCTACAAGGCTGTCACCTGATTAGAACTGATTGTGGAAATGTTGCAGATCCCAAGCCAGATTATCTTTTGTGCTACTGTTAGAACCCTTAATAGAACTCACTGTTCACTCCTGTTTTGACCGAATGTCTTTGTGAATCTTAGATGAATCCTTTTTGGAATGTACTAACATAGATTCCTAGTGTCCACCAAACCAAAGGCTTAGAATATCACTAGGTAACATCTAATGTCCACAGCTGAGACTTCCCCACTTTGCTGTAACCGGTCCACCAATGTATTTTTTTCTTTTTTGTTGTTGCTTTAAATTTTTTTTACTTTTAAGATAGAGTCTATAGAGCCCTGACTGGTCTCAACTCAAGAGCTCTGCCTGCCTCTGCCTCCCAGTTTCTGAGATTAAAGGCATGAATCACCAGACCCATCCAATGTATTTTTTCCTTAAAGATTTTATTTATTTTAAATATTTTATTATTTTTATTTTTAAAAATATTTTATTATTTTTTATTTTATGTGTATGAGTGTATTGCCTGCATGCATATAAATGCACCCATGTGGAGCATTGTCTTTTGTGGGTTAATAACTAGTCTCCATGAACTTCCTTTTCAAAGAACCTGTAAGGGAGATGAGTCTAAAGTTCTTTGAAGAAGCAGCAAACTGAGAGGACATGCTCTATTACATAGAAATAAATTGTCCTTGCTATTTTTCTTACATTAATTTAGCTCTGCTAAATTGTATATAATTTGAGCTAAGACCATAGGAAATTTACATTCTGCATGGTAAAAAAGTTACCAATAAATAGTTTATATTGTTTAATAATGTACATAACAGTGCATTATTTTTTTTTCTGTTTGTAGATGAATTTAGCAACATAAATGTCTGTTCTCTGCTGAAATTCAAGAAATCTAGATTTCTGTGTGAAAATTTTCATGGTCTTATGTATCGATAAGGTATAGAGATTTTTGCAGGAGTATTAGTGTCTCAGTGGCTGCACTTTATTAGCACTGTGCTAAGTTTTGGCAATGATTGGCCTCAAAGTTTTCAAGTAGAGTCTGAGGGTGTCAGACAGTGAAAATGTGCTGTTAACTAAGTAGCATGTGAGTCAGTTGATTGTAAAATATTTCACTGGGAACTTATTTTAGCTCTGTTTTATTTTGGAGAGACAAAGAACCGCTCCACCTGTGCAGCAGGGTTTCTATTTACATGGACATTTATGTGCAGTCTTTGTTAAAAATTTTCAGAAGACTGTACTCTTTAAGCACTGTTTTTTTAATTATACCTCATTTAGCTAACTAGTATTCTAATACTGGTAGAGAAACAGTGAGCCAGCCTCTAAGCATCCAACAAAATTTCGATTATATGTTTTGTTTTGTCTTGTTTTGAACTGAAGGCACCCTTAGAAAAGATAAATGATACCTTAGTTTAGATTAGAACATACATGTCATATCCAGTAGCATACAAAAAGTAGGATGACCCCCATCTCCATTAATGTATTTAGTTGTGCAATATGGGTAAGGTTTTTGCAGTACTTTCTGAGTAAGAGATTATAATCACATTTTACAGGTTCTGAATGCTGAGAATCTGTTTTAAGACTTACAAAGTTTTTTCCCCCCAGTAGCAGTAAAATGACAAATTTAAGTAGACTTTCTTTTCCAGTTTGACTTAGATTCTTTTATAAATCATTCTAATCTTTAAAAATGAGCTACTAAGCCTAAAATGTTTAAGCCACATTTCATTATGTTGGTTTACTGATCTCAAAATTTAAGCATGCCTTTCTACAATCAGATTTTTTTAGGCCTTATTTAAAAATAAAAAAAAAAAATTTAAAAAAAACTTCCTTTCTTGTCCAGGGGCAGAGAAGACTGTTTTAAAAATGAAGTTTCTTGATTCAGAAGGACAGAGAAGATCAGAATATACTAATAAATTTCTTTTGGGGGGCTTTTTTTGAAACAGGGTTTCCCTGAAGCCCCAGGTGACCTGGAACTCACTATGTAGACCAGGCTGGCCTTGAACTCACAGAGATACACCTGCCTTTACCTCCCAAGTGCTGGGACTACAGGCATGCGCCACCTGTAAAAATAAAATAAAAATAATTTTATTATTTTTAAGTAGTCTTTTTTTTTTTAATGTGTATAAGTGTACTGCCTGTATGTATGTAAATACAACTGTGTCATGCAATGCCCACAGAGGTCAGAAGAGGGCATCAGATCCACTGGAACTGGAGTTACAGATGGTTGTTAGCTGCCATGTGGGTGCTGGGAACCAAACTAAGGTACTTTGCAAGAGCAGCCAGTGTTCTTTTTTGTCTTTTTTGAGACAGCGTCTCCCTGTAGCCCCAGCTGGCCTGGAATTCACTATGTAGACCAGGCTGACCTCAAACTCACAAAGATCTGCCTGCCTCTGCTGGGACTAAAGGTGTGCACCACCAAGCCCAGCTGGTCCTTTGCAAGAGCAGCCAGTGTTCTTAACTGCTGAACCATCTCTCTAGCCCCTTTAGACTTCATTTTTAAAAAGCAACACTATTGTATTTATAGAGATTACCCCAACACCATGCCCACCCCAGATTCCCCAGTGTCAACATCTCCTTCAGAGTGGTCCATTTCTTCATAGCTACATCCACAGGTTGTTATCAACCAAAGTACACATTTTCCATTAGGGTTAGCTCCTTCTGTTATATATCCACTGTGTGGTTTGGATATGCATATTATTGTGAATATACCATTATTGTATCATGTGAGAGTTGCTTTACTGCCCTGTAAATCCCCAGTTCTACCTGTTGTTCATCCTTCTACTCCCAGGATCCACAGATCATTTTTACTATCTCTAGAGTTTTGCTTTTGAGTGCCATGTGGTTGTAAGCACACAGAACGTAGTCTCTTGGGGATGGCTTCTTTCATTTATATACATTAGGATTCTTCTATGTCTTTCGTGGTCTAACAGCCCTTTTTTTTCTTTTTGATTAAAAAATTATTTTAACTGTATGTGTATGATGTGTGTGCATGTATGCCATGATGCACACGTGGAGGTCAGAGGACAACTTTGTGGAGTAAGTTCTCACCTTCCACCTTTACACAGGTTTGTCATTTTTCAGCACCATTAGAAAGGAAATGTTGCAAACACATGTTCTCATGTTTGACACTACTGTTGTACTTTTGGTCATTAGTTAAATCCTAATTCAAAGGTGACTGAAAAGAGAGGTTGATAGAATAACTAGTGTTAATGAAACTTCCTTTCAGTTTTCAGCAGGTATGAGCGTTGTTTCATTGGTTGTCTGAAGAGGAGGCTGGGTCCATCTTAAGAATAACTTTGGAGATGCTTTGTGTCCCCATGGTTATGGGTGTTGATGCAAAAGCACAGTTCTTACCTCAAAGGGTGACCCACACCTTTAACCCCAGCATTCTGGAGGCAGAGGCAGGCAGATCTCTGTGAGTTCAAGGCCAGTCTGGTCTACATAGCAAGTTCCAGGTTAGCAAGGGCTACACAGACCTTGTCTCAAAAAACAAACGAAAAAAACACAAAACAAAAAACCAGAGTTAATGGAGCTAGAGAGATGGCTCAGTGGTTAAGAACCCTGGTTGTTCTTGTAGAAGACCTGGGTTCGAATACCAAGCACATACATGGCAGCTAACAGCTGTCCGTAACTCTAGTTCCAGGGGATCGAACAGCCTCTTCTGACCTCTGTGGGCATTGCACGACATGGGTGCACTTACCTAGATGCAGGCAATACACACATACACATAAAATAAAAATAATAAATAAACTTTTAAAAAAAAGTTAAAAAAACAAAAGACCAGAGTTAAGTATGAGTGACCAAGGCCAAGGAACTATCAGTTTCAGTCAAGATAAAAACCCATCTGTAAGGCCATAGGACTGAACCATCATCAGTTAACACCTTTTTAAACAAAGGTACAAAGATAAAACTTGAAGTTCTCTTAGTTCTTGGCAGCAAGAAATGCAAAACACATTCATTCATACACATAACAAGCAACAATGCCAGATAGGAGATACCTTCTTTTGAGTTGTTGGCCAGGGTGGCCAAAGGGACTCCCAGATAGTAACCCAGCATAGAACTGGGAAAATGAACAGCAGACCCCAGTCTTATCTAAAGGAATATTGACAACTGATTGCTGCTACATGAGGAACAGCTGGCCTTCCTAAAACAATGACCTCTAGATAGGCTTATTAGATTCACCAGATGGACAAGTAGTGGGGAACAGCTGGGGATGCCGACAACACAGCAGACAGTAGCAGGGATATCAGAGTATAAGGGCTCTAGTGGGAGGAGGGAGGCTATGGGAG